CGCACGCCTTTAATCCCAGCACTCGGGAGGCAGAGGCAGGCGGATCTCTGTGAGTTCGAGGCCAGCCTGGTCTCCAAAGTGAGTTCCAGGAAAGCCGCAAAGCTACATAGAGAAACCCTATCTTGAAATAACCAAATAAAACAAAAATTAAAAAAATAAAATGTTAATGCCTGGCATGGTGATACACACCTTTAACCTCAGCACTCAGAAGGCAGAGGAGTTCAAGATGTTTACCTACCTGGTCAAGCCCTTCCCCGGCTTTCCTGAGGTTCTGTAGCTGGTAAACTTCCAGGCTTCTCCCATCATCCTGACAGCACAGATCCATCACAATACAGCCCTGGTCCTCAAAGGCGTTGATTTGATGAAAGGTAACAAAAGGGTTGCTGTAATACACTCCTGGGAGGGTCTGCAGGACACACAAACAATTAGAAAGACACTCAGTTTCTTTCCTTCTCCTTCCCTCCCCTCCTTTCTGTCGTCCCCTTTCAGGAATAAATCTACAAAGCTCAAATTAGAAGAATCCCCACCCCCAACTTCCATGCCGTGGTCAATAGGTACAATGGAAGAAAAATCAGTATATAAAAGCAAATGATTTAAGGAAGCTCATTTCACGTTAATCAGTGAACTCAGGCCGTCTGACACAAACCAATCTATTGTTGTGACTAATTTAAAAGCCTTCCTGAAATGTGTGGCCTAATGTTTTACAGGATAAACAGGTCCTAGACTCTAATTACAAGATTAATAGAAAATACTGTTGCTTAGGATGCTTATTATAAATTAAGTGAATGACTGAAAAATACACTCATTATTCAAATAATTTTGTAATGAAATCAGGAAAATTAAATTTAGGACGCTATCTTCTTAGAGATAAACATAGACAAGTACAATGACACCATTACTAATGGGGACTATAAGAAGATACACAGCCTGACATGCTGGACTTCAGTGGGACTATGATATTGGCACACCAAGTCCCAGAAGCAGCTACTTTAAGCTTCAAATTGCCGTTCCAGAAGTGACGAAAGAGCTGTGCATAAACTGCACCCCTCTGCACTTTTCTGGCATGAGAAAACCCGTGATGAGAGCTTCCTGTGCCCTTTTAATTCAATCAGTTGGAGGGGTAAAAACATTCCTCACAGTTTCCCAACATGCAGCATCCATTGTGCTAATTAATTAATTAGCAGACAATCCAACCAGAAAAAGGAAATAATACCCCTAATTAGAAATGTCTTTAAAAGTAATGTATGAAGGTGAAGAGTCAGCCCTGTGGAATTCACCTTCAGGGCATACCCTTTCATTATAAATATGCTCAGATACTCAGCCTGTCCATTGTGTTTATCCACCACATGAAACCGTGTGTTATACTGGGGCTCCCAGCTTATCCCATCAGCAAAGGCCTTCCCCCGGATTTTAGAAGTGACTATTTTCCACAGTTTCATCTTTAGAGGCTGTTCAATGAAGATTATGTAGTTTTTTGTCATTCCTAAAAGTTTCCAGAAAAGAATAAAATGTTACTTGGCAAACTAGAGTGAACTGAAATGTGGCAGTGAGAGGACCCGTCTGAAAACTGGCATGTTACTGCTGACCTAAGTAAACACCACCCAGAAATACTTGGCTGTTTCCCAGCTCAACTGGACATATTTCCTGTTTCTGCATAGAAAAGAGAACTGTTAAGAATACTTGGGTTAATGCCCTTAGTTGGGCTTTGCTTTTTTTTTTTTTTTTTTTTTCATTTTAAGTTGTTTTGGTTTAAGGATAACAGAAAGCAGAACAATATTAAAGTGCCATCCATGCTCAGTATATTTACTCCTTAGTCTTTTTCCTGTACACCCTGGGAGTGAAGACCTAGAAGTATTTTGGCTATCACAATTTACAATATGTAAAGTAAATGTTCTGAATAAAGGCTAAAACATCTCAAAAGTTAACAAAACATTATTTTTAAAGGCTGAAACAATCTATACAGAATATAAGGTTCACACACACACGCACACACACACATGAAATAGTCAAGGCCTTTTCATGTGTGACTATTATTTTAGGATTTTAATACTGACTCAAATTTTTCATTATCAATTTATATTTCTAGGAACTACTTACATGAAGAAGCCATGTCTCTTCAAGCAATCTGTAGGCTAGCATAAGGAGTACAGGGCTAAACAGAATCACTTAACTGGTATTAATGCAATCTTGACCTCAGTACTGTAACACTCTGATAAGTGATCAACATGGTACTTGTCAAAACTAATCTTTGTGATACAGCAATATTAATTCAGAGCCCAGGGCAACTGGCCTCATCCATAGACTTACCAAAGCTATGGTAGTAAGAAGGCTTCATAGTCTCAGCAGAAGTGATAGAACACAGCACTTGTGCTCCATGAATCGTCTCCCCAGGCCCTGTCTTCTCTGGAGGAACCCGAATAATATTATAGCAAGAACCTGAACAACAAAAATTTCTCCCTTTACCGTTTTTATATACATTCTAAAATGAAATAACCCTTGCTCTTGCAAGGGCTTGGTATTTAGCAAGCATGCTATAAATAGTTATTGATAGATTAACTAATACCACACGTTTATGAAGTTATTCAGTGAACAAATAAATATTTAGGTGATACTAAATTATCTTCCTGGTATTATAATTTGCAGTCTAAGACATGATGAACTTATATAACATGGAATTTCACAATCTCCATTATTCTTAAGGAACAAAATAAGTAACACTTTCTTCTTGGTTCATTTATTCTGCAGCCATTTACTGGTCACTAGTCATATTCCAAACACTGTCCTAAAAAGTCTAAATACTGTATTTCAAACTCACAGCAGTACACAGAACAGACAAAAATCTATTCATCTCTAACTCAAATTCTTAAAAAAAACTATGAGCAAAAATGCAATGCATCTGATTGTGATATGAACTATAATGTAAACAAGCTAGAAATGGGGGCTGCAGTGATTGTGTATGGGTAGGCATTCCTGTTTGCCATTTTGAATATGGTAGTCTGGGGTGATACCATTCAAGTGAAGACCTGAAGAAGGTGAGGAAGAGATTTGAGAGCATCTAGGAGAAATGCATTCCAGACAGAGGAAAGTGCATACGCAGCCAGGAACAGTTTGTAGTGTTCAAATAACAACAAAGGGGCCAGCGTAGTCCTGTCTGCTAAGAAGGAGAATCTAAAAGATGAGTCTAGAGAGGTGGATGGGGTAAGAGGTCAACCTGGCCACTATGCTGAGAACACGGAAAAGTAAGGTGAAGAAAGTATTGAAGAAATCAATTAAGAGGTTAGTTTGATAATTTTAATTGTAAGAATACTGTGGTTCAAAAATAGATGGGTGGCCATGGAAGTGATGGCATGAGGTAGTTGGATTTTGAAGATATTTTGAGGGCATTGCTCAGATGATTCTTTTGATTAATTGGGTGTAGGTGTAAGAGAGAAACATGAAGAATGATTCCAAAGTTGTCATTAGCGACTGGAAGGATGGCGCTACCATCAACTAAAACGAGGAAGACTCATTTTTAGAGAGTTCAGCAGAGAAGATCAAAGGTTTGGTTTTGTAATGCTTGTTGACATCCTGGTAAAAACACCGAGTGAGCAACAGGTACAAATTACCTGTTGCAGATGTCCAAGGTGGAGATAAAGACAAGTTTTGAGAGACCACTTCAAAATAGGAAACATCATGTTTTGAACAGTGACAGAAAAAAAAAAAAATAGACAAGAACAGTGATGGGTTAATACGAAGAACATAGTTTAAGTGTTAAAAACTAACTGGGTTGATAAAATGTTTAAAGAATTTTTGCTAATTTGTAAAGAGGATCATAAAATATCTGAAAAGGCTAAAGCTTTACTATGATTTGCCCATTGATTCCTTAGTCCCTTTCCTACACCTTTTTGTTCTTCAAAGTAGATAATTGCAGGCATTTTAAAAATTACAATCAAAAGTATTATGTATCCAAATGTATCCCAGGTATTCAGGCTCCCTGCAATTTACATATGCATTGAGTTCCAGTTCAAAACCTTCTCAGTGAACCAGATAATCCAATGAGAAAACAGAAGCAGGTTTGCTGTTAGGATTAGAGTATAAAAAGATCCCCAGTGCTGGCACTTGGATTACCCAATTCACTGAATTTAAACACTTAGTCACTGAACTGTTCTAACTACAGAGCACAGAAGGCATTGTGAAGGAATTATGCAAGACCAGCTTCTAATCCGGTGAGGAATGTGAAAGAGAGCTGCCTTGCTCAGTGTCTGAGTCTGGCAGTCTCCAGGAGTTTGTATAAACAGGAAGTTGAGGTAAAGTAACAAGCAGGGGCAGTCCTGATTGGTGCCTGCATTTCTCAGCTAGACCTAGAGACTGCTTGCACCAAGATGCCCTGGGATCCATAGAGGTGCAGATTCTTGGCCTATTCTCACTTCTGCTGAACCAGAATCCCTAAAGATGGATGGTGTCTGTGGTCTATCCTGATAGTGAGCATTCTAGATGATTCTTAGATGCAGTAAGGTTGAGACTGATGATCTAGTGACTATTTTAAGATATATAACTAAGAACGCTATTTTCCAAATTACAAGTAAGTTTCAAAATAAACTACTTGGTCAATAGAGTTAATAAGAAGTGGATTTTTTTTTTAATGACTAAAAAGTGATGGATGGAACAAAACAAACAGAAAACCTACCCATGTAGGCTTTCATGTACATAAAAACCAGTGGTCTTGTTAGGACAAAGGTCCTGATTTAGCAGATTTAGGTGATGTTGAGACTAACTAAATTCTGATCTTTGAGGGCAAAACCCAGCTAACTGTATGGTTCCCCAGTGAATCCAATATATAGATAGATTTGAAAAGGTCACTGAAGGCTGGCAACATAACTCAGTCAGTAAAAGCACTTGCCACCAAGTCTGATGACCTGATTTCCATCCCCAGGTCACACATGGTAAAAGGCAAGAACTCACTCTCACAGCTTGTCCTTTGTCCACATGGTCTCCACACATCACTATATCCATTGGAAGGATTTCTACTGTTTCCTAGAACAGCTTTAAAGAAAAGAAGCTAGATGGAAGCGTATTCAGGACGCCCTATCTGTACCTAAGCCAATAAAACTAAAACTTCAGCATCCATCTTCATAGACACTCATATGTGTAGATACAGACCTATGGAGGAGCTATCCACAGAGCCGACTATTCACCAAAGGTATACCACAACCACAACATGTTTCATTTACTGTAGACACTAGTCTAACAATAGTCAAGGTAGATAGTCACAAATATCTAACACTCTCAACTAACATACTCTTGTTCAGAGACAACATGCTCTCAAAAACAGGAATGCAAATTTGCCTTCCCTGAGAGAGTGGGTGTATCATTTTAAAGGTCTTGAGTAAGTGGAGGGAGAAATGGTGACTGGGTGGAGACAAGATGCTAAGTAATAACAATACAGCCTTCTGGAGTCGGGACAGAAACCTAATAAAAGGGGCCAACAGAATGACTTACAGCAAGCCTTTGTGTTTAAAGTCAGGCCTGGTTTCAGGTCTGGCTTAGAGACATGGAAATTGGCTCAAGTAAATGACTTAAACATCCTCAGGGTTCACTGGCCTCATCTGTAAAATGGAGGTGATAATCGAGTTGTATACTTTGAGAGTTGGCGTGTACAGATTAAAGAAGGAAACAAGAAATATGCTTATCCCTAGCCTATCTTAGGCACTCAATAAACATAAGCTGTAATTACTAGCTACTGGAACATTCTAGAGGAGATTGGTAGCAGGTTTGGAACTGTGTAGATGACCAGCAATATGGGGTATAGCATATGCCATACAGCTATGGCCTTGACTTACTTTGTTAGTTACTTCTGTGTGATAGACAGTGGGCCCTCCCTACGTTCCTTTTCTGTAGCATTTTACATTTTGTTTTTACAATATAGTATGTCTTTAAAGTTCATATTCAAGAGATATGCGCCTTCAATGCTTATAACATCCAAAAATCATAATGGAACATAAAAGTGTAAGTTACACTGAAAAAGACATATAGGAAATCAGTTGCCAAGCATAGGTACAATAAGTCAACAGAACACATACTTAATGATAAACCATGTCTTTTAACCTCAGTAATACCTCTTTGGAACCTTTCAAGTGATAGTTCCTGTTTACATTTTAAACATAATGGCACTTGGGGAAACAGTATACTCCTAAGTACATCTAAAAATACTTGCACCCTCACTTCACCTCTTGGCCCATAGGTGTTCCCCATATTGTATGCTGTTCCATCTGGGTCATAATGAGGGTGTGCAGTTGCTCCATTCACAGCAATGAATTTGCTCCAGTCCACCTGCAGGTTTAAGACTACTTGAGAATTGTAAATGATACACAATAGATCTTTATTAACATAAATTAGCATAGATAACAGAAGCATGTCATCTATGTTAAAAGTGTGATATGAGGAACCTCTGAGAAATCAAAATTACTTTTCCTGCTAAAAAAAAGAAACAGATGCAAAAACAAAACAATAAAAGCCAGCAGTACCACAGCCACCAACAAAAACATCTGTACAGATTTATCTAGTATCATGGCAAAGTTCAAAATAAGCATAACAATTGTAATCAAAAATAAAATTAAAATTTTAGTCTGAGGTGGTGGAACACAACTGTAATCCCAGCACTTGGGAGACTGAGGCAGGAGGATCACAAGTTAAAAGCCAGCTTAAGGTACATGGTGAGTTGTGGGCCAAGCTGAGCTACAGAGCAGACACTGTATCAACAACAGAGTTGTCCTGAAATTGTATTAATTAATGTGCCAAGGCAATACGGGCCTACACAACTTCTAATCTGATAGTTACTGTGCCTAGGAAGAACATGAGCCTGTCAAGGCTACTTCCCTCAACCCCGGCCTTGTGATGTTAAAACTAAGGTAGGAATTTGGGATTATCTTTAAGGAAAACCAGCCCCACAAGCATTATAATCCTGGCAGAGGGTGACGGTAGCCTAAATTAATGGGTGTCTTTATTTCTGTGGAGGCGAGCCTCTGATTTCTTCCTTGGCTATCTAGATTCTTCAAGGGACTTTGAATAGAAAAAAAAAAAATTGGGATCTATTCTATTCATTTGGGGCCTGCACATTACCTTTTCCCTCCTTTCCAGAGTTTCAATGTCCACTTTATTCATAAAGTTAGTCTCAGTGCTCATGTAGTAGTCACCCTTGTACTGTACGAAGTTGACATTGGTGTTGTCAGTCATGACTGAAATCAGGTAGCAGACAGTAAGCACATGCTCTGAGGGAGAAATTTTCAATGCCCCCCTCTCTTTCACACACACACATACACACACACACACACACACACACACACACACACACACACACACACACAAGAGTGTATTTTTCAAGGGCTGGAGAAATGTCTCAAAACTTAAGAGTACATGTTGCTCTTCCAGAAGACTTGAATTCAGTTCCTAGCACCCACATGGCAGCTCACAACCATCTGTAACTCCAGCTCCAGGGGATTCAACAACTTCTTCTGACCCTCAAGGACAACTACAATCATAGACACATGAACATAAATAAAAATATACTTTTAAAATGTATATTTTTCAAGATTTCTATTTGTATAGATACTGATTAAATGATGATCACTGCCATTTTATGGGCTCTTTACCAGGTGCCTCAAACCTTGACATGAAACGTTCAAAGATATTCTTGCATGGGTCAGGAAGAGCCAGTGTGCCAAATTCTGAGATCACAATCCTATCTCCAGCACTGTTGGCCTTGTATGAGTCACTCTGGAGAAACCTGCTCCGGTATGTCACTGTGCCCTTCTCCATTTTGAACTGGTGAAGCAAAGCCATTCCATCAAACCAGTGATTGTATCTGCAAAGAGAGGAAACAACAGGAACTAACTTATGAGTAAGGAGAGCATGGGGTCAAAATGAGGGGTGGAGTGATCTCTCTGCCATCCAAATATAAAGATAAGCAAGTGGTGTGTGTTCCCAGGGCCAATTATAGAACTCAGAGAATTTGAAATTAAGGAATGACAGTGTTCTGAATTCCCTGGGCTACAACAGGGAAGGGCAGCTTGCATTCTCCTAACCCCGGCCCTGTGATTCTGAACCCCTGTCAAAAAGCTCACTTTCCAATGCGCTGAAGGAAAACCCTACAGTGGTCAGGCCTAAGATGTTTCTGCTTTTTCCCCCTATGACGAGGAGGACAGAGGAAGCTTGGCATTTTCTAAATCAGAACAAGTTCCTAAGAAGAAACATTCATCCTCAAATCCTAAATGCATTAAGTTTTCTGTTTACTATAGTTTTTTTCAATTTTACTTTTTGCATCATCACTTTGGCCTCATGATTATACTAGAAATTGTCTATCAAAGTGATGGAGCAGGGTTAGCAAGATGGTACAGAGGGTGAAGGTGCTTGCTACCAAGCCTGATGACCTGACTTGAATCCCCGGAACCAGAGGCTGGAGGGAGAGAACAGACTTCTGCAAGCTGTCCTCTGGCCTCCACACATATGCCATGGCACATGTAAAAATAAAATTAAAACATGGAACATCAAAAACCTGTAAGCAAAAAAAAAAAAAAATGTAGCTTTGTTTTGAAAAAAAAAAAATTATCACAGCCAGTATAATGATACATATCTGTGATCTCAACACTGGAAAGGTAGATGCAGGGGGACTATGAGTCTGAGGCCATCCTGAGCTAAACCTCTCTCTCAAAAGAGCAATAAACAAACAAACAAAAGAGCTTTTATGTGGTCCTTTCTTTCCTAAGTTTGACAGATTAAATGCTTGATGGCATCAGTATGGGCAAGGAAGGTTAGCATCGTTGTCTGAAAAGACAATGGTTCCTGAAATCAGGGCTGGTCTTCGTTCACTCAGGCTCAAGTCAACATTACTCACGAGAGCCAAAAGACAGAAGCAATGAAAGCATCAACTGATGACTAAAAACAAACCAATTGTAGAGGTTCATGCCTGGTACTCCCAAATATGCCACTTTGACACACTATTCTGAGTCTGAAACACTTGAGGATCAGCCGCGGCAGACGAGCACTATGGCCTTCTATTTTCTTTCCAAAAGTGGGAAATGGAACTCCCTCATGAAAGATGGCCTCCCTGTATCAGAAGGAAGAGAGACACCCTGCACCTGGAGACAGGGAGGTGAAGCAAAGAGAGAACAGGATAACCTGGCTAACAGAACACTCACTTTCCCACAACTAACTGCCCCAACTCCAACCCTTGCCACATTCTCACAATTTACTCCTCTTGGTCCAACTACTACTACCCAGGCTTTAGATTAAATGATTCTCCCCTTCCAGCACACCCCCAGTGTGTGTGTGTGTGTGTGTGTGTGTGTGTGTGTGTGTGTGTGTGTGTGTTGTTTGCTTGTTTGTGTCAGGGTCTGACTATATAACCAAACAAGGCCTTGAACTTGCTATGTAAATGAAGCTAACTTTAAACTTGTGATCACCCTGCCCCAGCCTCCCAAGTACTAGATTATAGGCCTGCACCACACTCAACTGCTTCTCATTTTTCTTACATGGGTTCCCAAGTACATACAAACATTAGCAAGTAGAAGTTATGTGACTTCCCACACACACACTATTAATCTTCCCAATTGTTGATTTAATTCTTGGGACTACTGAAGACCACAAGATGATGAGAAAAATTTTGCCTCCTCTACAATACACATCATATTATCACCTAGCACTAAAAAGGAAGAAAACGCTATCATATGTCACAGCACAGATGAACCTGGAGGATCATTATGCTAAGTAAAACAGGCTAGTCATGAAAGTACAGACACTGTAGGGTCTACTTATGTACGACATTAGAAGTAGGCAAGGGGCCAGAGAGCTGGCTTAGTGGCTACAAGCACAGCGGCCAGGCTGGATGATCCGAGTTGGATCCCAGAAACCACATGGCCAATGGAAAAGAATTGACTTCTGAAAGTTGTCCTCTGACCTCCACATACATGCCATGGCATGTGAACATGTACACATGTATGTGCACACAATTAAACACACTCAATAAATGTACTTTAAAATGAAAAGTAAAATATTCAGGTTTATAAAAACAGGAATGAGGTTGGTTAATGGACTTGGAGGACAGAGAAAATGACAAATTGCTGCTTAACTGGTTAGTTCCAATTTTGCAAGATGAGAAAATTTTGAAAATGTTTCACAATGTGAATACACATGACACTACTGAACTGTACAATTAAAATGGTCAAGATGTAAAGCTTACATGTTACAAATTTTATCACATTTTTTTAATGTAGGGAAAAAGAAGTCCCTTTATTCTCATGATTTCAGATGCCATCTTTATCAGATGCTCAGTTTGGTAAGTTGTGGGTCTGTTTCTGGGCTTCCTGTTCTGTTATCTGCTCCCTGTTCATGAACAGCATCATAATGTTTGAACAGTAGAGAATTTACAGTGCTCTTAATGCCTTGTAAAGCACTAACAATTTTCATTTTCAGTGTGTTCTTGATAATTCTTGCATATTTATTTCTGCATATGAACTTTGATATTAGTCTAACTTCCTGAAATAGCTTGTTGGGATTTTTATTAATATCATAATGTGTTTACAAATAATGGAAAATGCACCTTTAAAATGCTGTCATTCTGTTCAAGAACAAGAGGTGGTTTTCCATTCATCCAAATGGGCAGATATGCATATGGCTTGGAAGTAATCTGCTCTGTAATATTTTTAAATGTTGGAAATTTTTACATGAAAAAAATTGAACTATAGCAAGGTCACTGGGATGGGATAGGGTGGGCATGGATTATCCAACACAGCCTCTTTTAGAAATCTTATGTTACTCCCTGCCAGTCTCCTCAGCTATTTCTATAGACTTTTTTTTTTATTGCCATCATCTGGGGACCTGGAGAAATGGCTTAATGGTTTAGAACACTTGTTGCTTTTGCAGAGGACCTGTGTTCAAGTTTCAGAACTATATGGTAACTTACAACCATGTGTAACTTCAGTTCCAGGGCATCTGATGCTCTCCTCTGACCTTGGGCACCAGGCATGCACATGGTACACATATATACATGCAAGGAAAACATTAATATACATAAAACAAAATAAATAAATAAAAAACAATTTCAATAAGAAAAGAATTGCAATTAGCAGTAGACATATCTGCCCATTATCTCATATACCTCAGACACCCAAAGAAATGATATTCTAAAGACTGACTGGGTTTTCACCCAGTGTATCTACCTATTGAGTGCTATCTAGCTAGGTACAGGCTATTGATCAAGATATTGGGAACATACGGATAAATTAGGAAGCATTTCTGCCCTCATGGAACTTACATCCTAGCAGAGAAACATAGCTAACACACATAAACGAAGAAAAACAAACAAGGCTGGAGAGTTGGCTCAGTGGTTAATAGTTCCTGTTGCTCTTAGGATATGGGTTCAGTGCCCTGCACCCTCATGGTGGCTCACAATCACCCATAATTCCAGTTTCTGGGGATCTAATATCCTCTTCTGATCTCTGCAGGCACCAGGCATATATTTGACACATATACTTACAAGTAGGCAAAACACTCATACAAATAAAATATATGAGAAATAAGTCATTTAAAAAACAAACCAACAGAGCAAACAGACACTAGCAACAACAGTGCTATGTAGAAAACTGGTAATGCAGTCAGTCTTGGTGTTTTTAGAATTAGAAGTCACAGGAGGCATTAAAGGAAGTGAGATTTGAGTTGACATCAAAAGGACAAAAATCAGGCCTGAGAGATGAGGGAAAACAGGTAACAAAGCATCAATGCCAAGATATTGGGTAAAAATATGAAGAACTGAAAGAAGTCACTGTGTCTGGGAGGTTCAGGGTGGCAGAGAAAGAGGTAGGAGGTGAAGGCGGTACCTTTCCTTCAGGACCTTGTGGTGAAATATCTCAGTAGTCTCGAAGAGATCTTTGCATGGCTCCCTTGGGCATAAACCCAACGAGAACTTCAAATTCACAATTCACGTGGGGGTGAGGGAGCAAAATGGTTTAAAACAAAGACAAAAAAACAACTTTTTTCCCCTCCTCTAAGCAACAATTTCCCTATCTATAATCAAAGGGATAGAATAATCACCTCAGAGAAGAAAGAGAGTTAAATGCATGCTCCATAGAATCAAACCACACCACAAAGCCCAAATTGTTCTCCAAAATCTAGGCTTACTTATCCTTTCCAAAGTCGAACTTCCCAGGTCCAACTCGAAGTAGATAGCCATTGAGCCATTCAGGAATGTGTCCTCGGACTTGGGCAGACACGGTGTTCAGAGTCTCCTCCACCGTGGTCAGCAGCGGGGCAATGCACGGCAGATTCTTTCGCTGTCTCAACATGGTTTTTGGTGAGTATTTCCCACGTATTTCTTCAAAACTGTGGAAGAGAAGCAAAAAGCATGCACTTGCACACGTGCGTGCACACACACATTATTACAGGATCTCTTGCTAATGTGCTTATTCCCCTACAGACACACACACACACACACACACACACACACACACACACACACACACACACACACACACACACACTTGTTACAGGATCTCCTTTTAGCATGCTTATTCCCTCAAAGACAATTCTATGGACTGGAAGCTTGAAGGGAAATGTGAACTAAATCAAATAGTCTCCAAATTCCTCTCTTCTTTTCATTTCTTTCTTTTTTTTAAACATAATTTCTCTCTGGGAATTTCACATTGTGAACCCTAATTCTGCTCGCCTCTCAGTCTCTCTCCTCATATTCTCCCTTCCCCTCTGCAGAGGCCCACCGCAAAAGAAAAATTAAAAAAAAAAATTAATCAAAACAAAACAGAGCAAGCCAACAAACAGAATAAAACAAAACAAACAAACAAACAAACAAACCACTTTACTCCTCCATCTTTGCCGCCCCTCCCACACCTCTTCGTTCATCCTGGTGGCATTGGGAGTGATGTGTCACAGTGTATACGCCCTTTTGTCCAATCAGCTTTACTTGCAAATGTTCACTGTAACGAGTCATTGGTTTGGTTCAAGGAATTCCTCTCTCCATTTTGTTACTCTCAAGTTACCAGCACGGGTTCTCCATTTTGAACCATGACAATCCTTAGATTTCTCTCAGTAATAATCTACCCAAGTGTTAACTCAATACTGTAATTACTACTACTGTCCTCTCTCATAGTTGAACAATGCTTTTCTTTTTCTAGATTAACTCCACGTTAACTCCAGATGTGCTAATAGCAATTTAACTGTTAGAGCAAAAATGGTGGCCGTTCAATATTACCATAGTTAGGTTGATCATGGTACCTTAGATAAGCCAGAATGTAACACCAAATATTTCAGTGTGGTCTCTATGTATTTAGTAGGATTTGGATTTAATTTCTTCTATTTTAATTATATATATATATATATATATTATATATATAGTAGATATATAATATATAGTATATATAATATAGTGTATAATATATATACACTAATACTCCATGAAATGACACGAGAGTGAAATCTTATCCTATAATCAGGAGCTGGACATCATCCCTGTTATTTCATACTTACAAGACTTCACAAGATAGTGGTGCATGAACGCAGAGTGAGGTGTGGTCAAACATAACTTTAGTTATTACCCAGTTACTTGTAACTTTGGCTACAATTCTTTACTTCATAAATAGAAGGTTTGCAGAGGTACAGGAGTTAGACTTGAAAAAAATAACAGATAAACATCCAAAGACCAGAGATCTATGTTCTTTTGGCAATTTGTTTTATACTGTCCAATTTCTTGGAAATACTAAGTTTGAAGTACATATGACCTTTTACTTTCCTAAATATAACAACTCAGTCAGGCCCAGCTCTTTCTTGTTTTCCCAAATAACATTCATTTCACACGGGATGCCCTTCCCAAAGCCTCTCCCTAAGAAGATTATAGCTGAGGATGCAGGTCAGTGGTAAAGTGCTTCTTCCCCAACATCTACAAGGCCCCGTGTTGGATTCCAACACTGAAAAAGAAGACAAGGAGAATATCTGGCAGTTGTGGTGGCACACAACTGTAATCCCAGCACACAAAAGGAAAGGAGGAGGAGCATATGAGGCAGGCTGGGCTATGAAGTAAGATATTGTCTCAGAAGGGCAAGGGGAGAGCAGGGGGAAGCGGGAGGACCAGAAGGTAGCTCAGTCAGTAAACTGCTTACTGTGCAAGCATAGAACATGAGTTCAATTCCAACACCCACATAAAGAACAACAATGACACTGGGTGCAGCAACAAGCCTTGTTATTCTTGCACTGGGACAGTGGGAGAGTCTACGCTTGGCTGGCCAGCCCGTCTAGTCAAGTTAGTTATCAGCTACAGGGTCAGAGAGAGATTCCCATCTCAAAAAGATGGAAAAAAAAACTGAAGAAGACACCTGCTATCAACCTCCGGCCTCTGCCTGTGCACATGCACAGCCATGCAAACACACACACAGATGGTGATATTTTATTTGTACTAAAATGTGATGTGTATGTTAATAAATAAAGTTGCCTGGGGGTCATAGCTAATAGCAAGCCTTAGCAGAAGCTGGGTGGTGGTGGTGCACGCCTTTAATCCTAGCTCTTGGGAGGCAGAGCTAGGTGGATCTCTGTGTGTTCAAGGATACAGCCAGCATGGAGACACACGCCTTTAATCTCAATACCAACCATAGAAGACCTGGAGGTCTGTACAGACAGGCAGTGATGAGGCGGTCATGTGGTTGGGTTTACAACCAATGAGAAGGCAGAACAGAAACACTATAAAAAGACAGATACACAGGAAGTAGCTCTCTTTCGGAGAGGTAGGACAACAGCGACAGTGAAGGGTAGGGTTTCTAGCTCTTAGCTATTGCTCTGACCTCTTGGCTTTCATCTCTGTATTGGCTCTGTGTTTCTTATTTAATAAGATGGTTGGTTACATCTACGTGCGCGCACGCGCGTGCGCGTGCACGCACACACACACACACACACACACACACACACACTCACAAAACAGAAAAAGTAAAGAAGATTCTACCTGTTGTTCAAGGTCTAACTCAAATGCTACTTCCTTTAGAGAGCATACATAGCCAAAGTGCCCAGGATCAACTCTTAAGTCACTTCCAAATGAAGTTTTTAACCTCTCAGTACTTTTTCTTCTTTTCTAAGACAGGAGATAAAAAATTCTTATCATGCAGGCTGGTGAGATGGTTTAACGATTAAGAGCACAGGCGGCTCTTCCAGAGGTCCCGGGTTCAATTCTCAGCACCCATATGGCAGCTCACTTCTGTAACTCCAGTCCCATGTGATCCAACATCCTCACACATACACACATGCAGGCAAAATACCAATGCACATAAAATAAAATTAAAAATTGAAAATTAAAAAATAAAGCTAGGCGGAAGTGGTACATGCCTTTAATCCCAGCACTCGGGAGGCAGAGGCAGGCGGATCTCTGTGAGTTCGAGGCCAGCCTGGTCTACAGAGTAAGTTCCAGCACAGCCAGGACTGTTTCACAGAGAAACCCTGTCTCAAAAAAACAAACAAACAAAAAACAAAAAAACAAAACAAAATTTTTTTATCATGCTTAAGGTAATAAGTGACCATGTAAGTTTATAGGAAGCTTTAGAACACAATACATATTCCCAAAATGTTTAGTATTATTTATTTAACTTTTAATGATCAATACAATGAGATGCACCACGGCTTTTCTTTCTTTGAAATATTTTAGTTTTTCAACAAAGAGCTGGACATTGCTAAAAGACTGAAAAGTCTCCAAATCCAAAAAGAGGAACCTGTTGCCTAGGGGGTGAGATGAGTCACTCCTGTATTGTGCCTCTGTCCTGTTTGAAAACTGTGCAACAAAAAATACAACCCTGTTCCTCTCTGGTACAGGAGCTAAATTCCAAATTCCTGGACTCCACTCCATACATAATAATACATAGTCTCTGTGGTGAAGCAAGCAGGCATACAACAAGGTGGGAACGATAGATAGTATTTAGAGGTATTAAGAAAATGCTTTGAAAAAAAGCAAAGAGAAATCTTGATTTTTTTTTCTTACTCTACTTTTGTAAACAGTGGCAAATTTATCTTACTCTCCTCTTAGATTAAATTTCCCCAATAAAAGCATATTATTAGCTATTTTAGGTAGAGTTAAACTGAATAGCCCAATTAAATACACATGAATTGTAATTATTTCACATTTTTATGTCTTTGCACCACGTGAATGCCTGGTGCCTTCAGAGGTCAGAAGTGGTTACTGGATTGCCTGGAACTGGAGTGAAGGATGGTTAAGCTACCTTGTGTATGCTGGGAATCAAACCCAGATCATCTGGAACAGTAGCCAGTGCTCTGAACCACTGAGCCATCTCTCTGGCCCCTTCATTTTAGATTGTATTTAGATATCTTCATGCTCTATACTCCATGTTATTAGCAATCTTGTACTCCAAATTTCTTGTGGTATTTGCTATGGCTGCTACCATCTCCTCACCCCTGTTTCTGTCCTTGGCTAGGGAGACAAGCTATTTGACCACTTAATTGCTGGTTTGGTTTTGCTGCCCTCTAACTATGCTGCTTTTTGTCAGCATCCTTATTCATTAGCTGGCAACCTGAGGCAAAAATCTTAACCCCATCCAACCTCAAGTTTTTCCAAGATAAAATAAGGATTAAGAGAGGTTAATGATTCCTGCTTATATCTACCATCATAATGAAATATAATGATACTTTGCAAATGTTAATCTCCTTCACCGATCCTTTCCGTCTTATCACCACATAAATGTCAAGGTATAACCTTGGACCTTTACTCTTCAATTTCAGCATTTTCCTTTAGTCATCTCATCTCGGCTCTTAAATTCTCCAGTTATGTCTCAGACGTGGCTCTCAGCTCTTCACCTTCTCTTCTGAATCAGTTCTTCGGCCAGCTAAAACACCTCACTTCAGTCTCTGTGTGGGCGCTGAACTCATCTTGTTCCCTGGCCTTACAACACAGTTCTTCTGACCACAGCGACACAGGGCCCGTAGGAAATCTCTTAAAGACTTTCGTGGCTTGTGTATATATTTTCCCAGACTCAAAGTTCTGCACGGATAACTTCTTTTCACCAGTCTCTCCTCCTTGGGACTACACGTTGTTTCCTAACCTAAGCGCATCTTCCTCAGCACCGAGGCCTCAACTTTTCCTTCCTATGTGGCACTTCCTTCCTACTGCGCAGCTCAAGCCCTTGATTCTTAATGAATCAACAGCCTCCCAGCTGCAGAAGCTGGGAAGAGAAACTCAGTAAGGAATGAAGCTCCTTCTACACACCACAGCTTCCTACTTAGTGAGTTGCTTGAACCCCTTGGCCATCTTAAGGGTTGGAGACCTCAGGCCAATTGCCTCCAACTCTAAATAGCTCATCTGGATGACAGATTCTAATTTATCTGGATGAGCAGGGAAGATGGTTTCCCACCAGTGTGATGACATGAAAAAGGCAGAGACACACTACTACTAAATGCAATTTCCTACATACAAATCTGGCTGCATTGTTTATTCCCCCGCAACTCCCAAATCACTTGTCATTATTCAAACTACCTGACCAGGCACTTGAAAGCCTTGTATGGTCTCAGCACAACCTAGCTGTTGACTCCAGACTAACTAGACTACTCCCCCAATCTCCTGAGCATTCTATTCTCTTCACCCAGGATATCTCCCATCTCCTTTATATGAAATTTGCATATGCAACTTAACCTTCAAGTTTCAGGTTCTGGGTCACCTGCTTCCTAAGCACCACACCCCATTTCCTCACTGCAGCTGTTGACAGCTTCCCTGCACTCCTTATCTTGCTGTGTTGTGTGATAGAGATAAGGATACTTTACAACCTCTCCTGCAGCACTCCTGGAATACAAAGTCTAGCTTACAGCTCCCCTGTCCTAGCACCTAACACACTGCCTTACACACAGCAAGCACTAAGTGATTAGACAGCTTTATAATTTACTGTGTATATCACTGGAACTTCTGGCAGTTCTACATCAACTAATTACTGAAAATATAATAGAAAGCTACAATAGAAAAACCACAGGGTTTGAAACCAGTTCCGAGAATGCAAATAGGAGAACCAAACATTTACAACAGAATATAAAGCAGTCGTTTTCAGTTGTGAAAAGTCAGAATAGAGAAAACCTCTTCCGATGAGGCATCCAAGAAAAATCTCTGGACCTAATCCTGCCTATGTGTTGCATTAACTGAGTTAGCACAGTGGCTGCTTCCTTTCCGATGAGTAAACCAATTCTGTCAGCCTTCTTTCACTTCTCCCTCTGTGGAGTTGCGGCTTGCATCACACAGAGGGGGAGACTTCAGAAGCCTGCCACAATCTTCAGACCCAGGCCCAGCAGTCCACTTGCAAACTGGTAAGAAGAGGACCAGGAAAGGAAGGGGTTGGGGGAGTTCCCTACCTGGGAGCTGGTGTACTGCCACAGAAAGAACGCCCACTTCAGTGGCAGGAAGGCTGCTGAGGGAACGGAGAGAGATTGGAGAAAACTTTAACTCAGTTCAGGGCAGCTGGCAGGTCTCAAGATCTCCAAATCCAAAGCCACCGGCCTTATTAAGTAAATAATGAGCGTGAGTTGTCTCTGGCTCTGTGACAAAATGGAACTGAGGGGAAGGAAGGCAAGGGGTGGGGCCTCAAAACACCGGTAAACTTAGTCTCAGTTCCATGGCAAGTATCCTAACCAACTATAAATAATCTTTGTTTCGAGATTAAAATCGGACCAATGATAGCCTCCCTTCTTGACCATCCCTTTCTGGAGTCTGGCCCTACCTGTAACTAAGTCCATGGAACTCAGATTTAGGGGTTCATTACACAGCTTCTCTCCTTCTGAATGATTCAAACACAGAATAAAGTTCAAATTTAGACCAATAGGCAACAGCTCACCCTTCTCCCTTTCATTTCATCCCGTTTCTTCTATATTCATTAATCTTATGAAAAGCATTCTCTCACAATAAAGCACAGACAGGACACCGTGAATCTATATAACCATACATGATTTTATTACTTTAACAAGTATCTTTGAGACTCTAAGTAGCAAACACTGCTAGGAAAGAAAAATACCAAGACAGGAATCAGCACCCCATTCCTTTTCTTTCTTTCCCTTCTCTTTTAATTACAACACTCTGGAGGCAGAGGCAGCTAGAGTTCAAGGCAGACTGGTCTGCATAGTGAGTTCTAGGCCAGCCAGGGTTACATAGATCCTGACTCAAACAAACAAAAAAGAAACTTGATGAAATAAAATTTTATTTTAAAGTTTACAGGCAGCAAAGTAAGATTCTGTCTAGTTTAAGAATACAAATTCCTTATAGTGCCCTATGCAAATGTACCTAATTTCTAATTGCTTATATTGGAAAATACACATACAGAAGACCAAATTGTCTACATGATTGAAAGTGGAGATTGAGATTTTTTTTTTGATCCAACTAATGTAGTTATATATTACATAGCTCTTTTTGAATAAAATCATAGTAGTACTTTATTTGTATCAAAAGAGGAACTATTTGGTCTGATAAGAGATCCTCTAGACCAAATTCAATTTCACATTATCATAGGATTGAAAGGGCCTGCCAAAACCATGTTTAAGATGACCTTCTAAGTTCCATACTGCTAATTTCCATCTAATCCACCCTACAGCTAAGGCTTCTAAATATAATTTATCAACTTCACAAATCAACGTGGCTAATAAGTAAAAAGTCACTTGGACAGCCAGACTTGGTGGTACATAACCTTAATGTTGATACTAGGAAGTTTAAGGCAGATGTACCATGAATTCATCTGGGTTCCATAGAGCATGACACTTGAAAAATAAAGAAATAGCCAGGTTATAGTAATTTTCAATTTTTATTTTACTACTTTTATCACATGAAAATGTTTTAAGCCAAATTTTTATTAGTCAAATATAATGGTTAAAAGTAAAAATAATTAAATGGTAATATTAAATAGCAGTAGCACAGTTATATTTTATTATATGCTGAAAAACTGGACAAATTACCTTTAATGTTTAATGTTCTTTTATAATACTAACCAAGAAAAACATTTTAAAACTATCTCCAAAATTAGCTGCTATTTAAACAAATACTGTTAGACATAATCAAATTAACAGAGTCCTCTTTCACAGTTTAAGAAGGGTTAAGCAATTTAAGAGTAAAGGAGGAAAAAAGAACACATGTAATTTTTAATTTACATTTTTATATAATGTGCCAAATATTTGACCCTCAAAAGAAAGATTACAAACTTCATATTACTGTTCATGTTAAAACCCCCTTTAAATTAGAAAAAGTTACAGTTCACTACATATATTTTCTTTAACAAGTGGACTACAGCAATAATAGGAATGGACTTTCAGTTGGTAAAGACACTTTACTTGTGCAGGGTGTTGGTAATCAATGTGAACCTCTGCTTTACGAACTCTCTTTTTTGTTCCAGAAAGTTTTCAATAATATTGGCTTCTTTGAAGAGTCCATCTAGCTCGTCAATGTAAGATGCATCTACTGCTGCTCTCTCACTAATAGGGAAAAAGGCTTGATCTTAAAATGAGTTATAAAGTCTAGACATGCCATCATTGTCAAGTTCTTTATACTGTATCTGTTAACTATTTCAATTTCAAGGCTTTGCCCATGACAGAGCTTAGTTAATTTACTAATATTATTCAAGAAAAAGTTAAATCAGTTTAGCAAATATTTTTGACTACTTAAAAAGTCTCATGACACAGAGAAAGTGTATCTTATACACTTTAATTATAAATTATTAAAATTGAACAAACTATTACTCAGATACAGTGACTGTCCAGTAGCTTATAAAGCACCTTGTAACACTTCAAATTCTCAGGCCAATACTTAAATTCAGCCTTGAAATGTATACTAATAAAATATAAATATTCAAACTATTTATCTTTTAATATAACCCCATTAACATTAATTTCACCAAATAATACTATTCTCAAAGAGATAGCTGAATAAAATTTTAAAGGTACTATCATCAAGAGACCAAGATACATCCACTCTGGTATTAGCACTAGAAATATGAAAAGTGATGTTTGGACAAGTTGGGAATTACACCCTTAAAATAATCAACTCATCTACTATAAGGAATCGAGACAAAATTGTAACTTCAATTTTCTAGTTACCAGATAAGATTTTTAAGTCACGGAATTAAAATTTTTACTTCATTTTTCAGAAGGAAAGAATTTCTAACAAAAATACTCGAAAATGCCATAATTACTTGCCTCAAAAGCTTTGCATATGTAGACAACATCAGATTAATTTCCTTGCTCATATCTGTTCAAAAAATTGAGTAGGTTGTAAAATCTAACAAAGCTTCTGCATGATACAGTCAATCACATAAATATAATCATTATTTATACATCACCGCTCAAATCCTTCTCCAGGGTTTCCTCTTTATAAAGGAGTCCAGAACATTCAGAGAAAGAAGAATCCGATTTTTCAAGAGAGGGTACCTGTGGACTATCTGACACCTGAGGCTAGGAAAAGAAAGAAAACAGATCAATGGTAAGATCTTTCAGACATATATAGTCTGTTTATTAAAAAAGCAAACCAAACATTTTTCAGAGGGGTTGGGGACACAGTTCTGTACTACAGTGTTTGCCTAGCATCCTTAAGGCTGTAGGTTCAATCCCCAGTATTTCAGAATTAGAAATGAAACTCTATGCTTGGGCCTAGGGATTATTTCAGTGGGAAGCACTAGACTAGGATAGCACTCAAAAATACAAAAAAAAAAAAAAAAAAAAAAAAAAAAAAAAAAAAAAAAACCAGACACGCTCGAGATTTCATACCAGCTATAAATTTTTTATCATCAAGGAAAACTTTGGACACAAGAGACACCTTGCTCAAAATACTAAATTTTGTTCAGTTTTGAGATTTTGAAAATGGCGTTTAACTCTTAATGAAAACCAGTCTTTTATCTTGCACCAGTGGATATTTTTATAATAACATGATAACTGTACTTTAGACAACAGACAAATGGCTGCAAGATTTTGCAATGTAGAGACTGGCGAGATGGCTGAGCAGTGAAAGGAAGCCCTAACCACTGCAATCCGATGATCTAAGGACAATCTCCAGACTTGCCTACGGCATTTAAGATTTTACTCATCTTAGAAAATAATTATGCATGTAAACTCCCATGTGCCAAAAAGACATGGACTCACTTTGGTTACTTTTAAGGCCATAACCTACCAAGAAGAAATCCCCAAGTAGATTTGTATAGGTCTGTCCTTAATGGAAGAGCTAGGTGGAGTCACCCTGGTTCCTGCCAGGACAGTCCTACCTCTGGGACTATGAGAACACTAACTTCTACTTACCAATAGCACTTTCTCCAGGAAAGAAATCAGAAATGGGTAAAATATAATAAAAGGCTCCAGGAGCATAAATCTCACCTCCAATTCTCTTGACCTCTTGCAGTTTCTAGAATCAGGTTTTACGAGGTGGTTTGCCATCATACTCTGGAGGCACAAACTATAAAGTTTAGAGATTTGTCAATTTAGGTATGAGCTCCACACTCCAGTTCTCTTCACCCGTGTCCTTTTCCCACTTCTACCATAATTAATTTCTGCTCTCCTGATCTGCCACCTAAATTTAATTTCTCCCGTCTCTATTTCATCTTCTCTCTCAAAACATTTCATTCAGAAACCTTCTGGGTCAGTAAACTCAAGTTTTATCACATAGCATCCAAGGTCCTCCATCATCTGAGACCAACTTAACTATTCATACCATTTTCAACTACTATATATTATAACGAGTCTATATAAAACGAGCTCAACTAACCTCACTGGCAATTCTATCTTGTTTTAGCACCAGAACATTTAAGGTTCTTCCGTCTTTATAAAATTTTAATGTTAAAATTAGAGGTGAGATGCTCTTGGGACCCTCTTCCTCCTACTGAGTTGCCTCATCCAGCCTTGATATGAGGGTCTGTACATAGTCTTATTGTAACTTGTTAGGACATGCTCAGTTGAGATCTCTAAGAGGCCTGCTCTTTTATGAAGGGAAGTGGAGGAGGAGTGGATCGAGGGGAGAGGGGCAGTAGGAGGGAGGGGCTTGGATGAGTGGAGGGAGGGGGAAACTGAGGTAGAAATGTAATATATGAGAGAAGAATAAATTTTTTAAAAACTAGAGTTTGGAGTTCCCCTTTTTTCCTTCTCGAAAGAAGGACAGCGTGAGGGGAGCTCTAGAGATGGTTTAAACAAATAAAACTGGGCTATCCCAGAAACAAGATCTCTTCATTCTTCTAGTGAGGTTGTTTCCATTGCCCTACCCATACCTTAATATGGCATCAAATTTCTTCCCCATAAATTCTGAAGCTATTTTCCTAAGAATCTGAACTGTTAAGGTTTAAACTTGAAAAGACAATGAAACTTAAAAGGATGGTCTCTTTATCTTAGAGTTAAAGAACTATTTACATTCAAATAATCAATTTGTTTCTCTATTTTTGTTTGTTTTTTGATTCAGGGTTTCTCTGTGTAGACCTGGCTGTCCTGGAACTCTCTCTGTAGACCAGGCTGACCTTGAACTCAGAGATCAACCTGCTTCTGCCTCCAGAGTGCTGGGATTAAAGGCCACATGACTGGCTCTGTTTCTTTTAAATACCATGAGTTAGATTAATTATAGGCAATCATATATGATAAGATGGGAAAAAAGAGCAAAAAGCAAATTATAAAGATGTTTCTAATTTCAGCATGTACTTCGAGTGCCTACCATCAGGATACTAAGTTGAAGCGCTAGCATAGTAACATGCAGAAAATGCACAACAGAAGCACTGACATTCCTAAAGAATCGAAACCAACACAAGCTAAGTCTTCTTCCCCTTTTAGTTCTCCCTTTTCTGCTTCTTCTTTCTCAAACTAACAGAGTGTACACACACACACACACACACACCTTCTATAGTTAGGTAATTCTGTGTTTGGAAAAGTGATTTCTGTCATCATTTAAGACTCCTAAATAGCCGAAGTCTGGATTCACAGGCGGGCCCACCCCCTATGAAAACATCAGCGACTTGGGGCTATGCCACCCAAGGTGTCACCTTGTGCAACTGTCCGTGGTTGTTGGTCTAGGATTTCCTTCTGCGGGCGGAGTTATGGTTTGGTTTCAGACTTTCTGGGACTGAGACTCACCACATACACCAAGCTAGCCTGGAGCCCATCGGGTGGCCGAGGCCGGACTCAAACCCGCAGCCACCGCCCTGTCCCCGTGCTCCGAGTGCTGGAACCACAGGCGTGTGCTGCCACCGCCGCTCCCGCCTTCTGCCGTGCTCCCTTCACAGCGCCGGTGCCTGCTCACGCCATTTCCCCGCCTCTTCCCCTCACCTCCCTCACACCTTCCGGTTCGCGCCCCCACGCCAGCCCCCCGGCCCCCGGAGAGGCCGCGCCCCTCCCCACCCGCGGCTTTCCTTCCCACTCGAGGTCCCCATCACGCGCGCTCACCCCCTTGTCCCACTCGCGAGGGGGAGATTCGACCACGACCTGCCTCCTCAGAAGCGTGGGAGCGCCAAGGCTTCGTGCTCCTCTGCGCAGGCGCCCGGGGCCCAGCTCCCGGCAGGCAGCGCGCCAGGCACGTGACCGCCACGCTGGCTCCGTCGGCCTGGAGCCACGCTTCCGCCGATTTCCCGCCTTTTCCCTCTCGCCTTGGAACCTTCGAGAAACAGAAAGCTCGCTTCCCGCCCTGGGGAGAAAGGAGAGTAAACTTGGAAACTGGTCTCCAGGAAGGAGAGAGGCGTTGCCAGGGGCAGCTGGGCTTGTGCCAGGGCCAGGAGTCTCAGCCGATGAGCATTAACTATTTCCCACCTGCCCTCTCAGGAAAGGGCATGCTGGGCGGTGTAGGGTGTGCTGGCAGGAGGCGGCTCAACCGGTTCCTCAGGCCCACAGCCTCCATCAGTGGCCCTCTATGTCATGGATGTGTCAGTAAGTGTAGCTGACCTCATTAGCGTCCACGAGGTACTTAGTGATTCGCATGGTTCACACACTTAACTTTATTGGGTACTTCTGCAGGCTGACTTTGACCTGCGCTCTCACAGACAGACTTCCTAAACTCTTTCTGGTGTTAGTTAACCTGGTGCAGAAACAGTATATTGCCTCATAAAACAAAGGTCAATGACATGCCTCCATGAACCCTGAGCACATAATCTTACAATTTCAGAAGGCTGTTATTTAACTCGCAGTCTTTTGTTTTTGTTTTTTTTTTTCCCCTTTTGTTAATTTACTAGGTTAGTATCAAGGCTGGGAAGTGGCTAGCGAGACGGAGCATTTGCCTAACTAGAATGTTCCTTCCTTGCTATGGGAGGTGGGGGTGCTTGAAAGTGTGTTATCTGTGTTGAAATTTTTACTGTCTGTAGTATGTAATACACTTTTTATAAAGTTGGATATGTTCATTTTACAGCACTTTCCTATCCTTGGGTCCAATCTCCAGCACCTATAAATCAATGCATACTTGTAATTCCAGCACTGGGAAGGTAGAGGCTAGAGGATCAGAAATTTAAGGTTATTATCCTTGGCTACTTTTGAGGCTAGCCTGGAATACATAAGACAAAGTTAAAGACCGTCTTTTATTAAAAGACTATAGCTGGGTGGTGGTGGTGCACACCCTTAATCCCAGCACTAGGGAGGCAGGCAGATCTCTGTGAGTTTGAAGACAGCCTTGTCTACAGTGAGTTCCAGGACAGCTGGGGTTTATGCAGAAAAACCCTGTCTTGAAAAAAAAAAAAAAAGACTGTGACTTTTCTAATTTTTTTTTATAAACATGAAATGAAAATGTAAGGATTTAAATTTTTAAGCATTTCTAGCAAATATAATATTCACCACTCAATATTTATTTGGTTTTGCTTGTTTGTTTTTGAGACAGAGTCATACTTACAAGTCCAGGCTAGACTGGGATTTATAATCCTCCTGCTTCAGTCTTAGCTATTCTATATTACTATCACTAGAACAGTTTTTTTTTTCCCCAGCACCATTATTTTTAAAGGTCCATTAAATGAAAAAGTCTGGGTGATGTCAATCTATTTCCTCTCCCAGCCTTCACATTGTATTATATCTAAGCAGATAATTATCCGTTTGGTTCCTAAAATATTTCAAAGAGAAAAAAAAAGGATTATCTCCTAATACATAAATTTTTTCATCAGATTAAAAGAAAATCATATTATATTATTTTCTTGTTTTAATGTTACCCTCATTGTGTGAGTAATGAGAAGATGTGAAGGATTCTGGTTAACCAATGCCTTAGAATCTACCAAAGGACTGTCAACAAGTCTATAAAATATATAGGACACAGAAACAGCTTACTCTAGATCATAGAAAAAAATAACTTTGTATCAAACTCCCAAAACTTAGAAATGTACCTATCATTCATCCTACATCTTTTAGAGCTGGAGGAAGCTCACTGGCACTCACTCTGCTTCTGGTCACTTTGTTGTGCATGTATGGAGATGGAACCCAGCACCACCTTCTTGCTAGCCAAATGCTCTACAGTTGAGCTAACCCCGCTGATCACTCTGTGACCCTACTTCATTCAGTCATTTGTGTCACTTGGAGGATGAAAACTTGCTATTTAAATTCAATCACATTTGTATTCTTACCACATTCTTTTTTAAAAATGTTAGTTTTTCTTCTGGTAATCCATTACACCAAGTCCCTCCAAAGACCTCACCACAAACTTCCTCTGTAATCATGCCAAGGACATGATGTTTTCATGACTTTAGGAAATTAAAACTCTACCCTGTTTTTTTTTTTTTTTTTTTTTTTTTTTTTTTTTTTTAAGTCAAAACTACCTGCTTACACAGCATTTTATTTCCTAACTTTAGAAGCCCTCTTACCATCTCTGTACTGGAAAGAAAAAAAATCACTTTCTAATTCCATTGCTAACAAAGCAACAATTTAGCTCGTGTCCAAGTAAAAAGTCCCTACGAAATACTGCTATTCTTTCAAGGCTATATTTACACTCTTTTCTTTAGAAGTAACATTTTAGAAGGCTATATCAATGAGTTGATTCGAAAGCTGTATTAGTTAAAGATAAACCTTAAAAAAATAATAATCTCCCTCAGTCATATCTCAAATATTTTAGGTCATAAATCTGCCACCATCCTAGGACTAGATGGTTTGGGTTTGTTTGTGTTGGGGGAAGGAGCCTGCAGTGCTAACATGCCACAGTACATACGTGGCAGTCAGAGGACCGGCTTCTGATGTCAGTTCTGGGCTGTCTTTGCCACCCAGGCTAGCTGGCCCTGGAGCCTTCCGGGGATTCTCCTGTCTCTACTTCGAATTTCCCGTAGGCACACTGGGATTAGGCACTAGTGCTACTCTGTCCAGCTTCTAGTCTATTTTTACTCAAGTTTTTATATATAAAAAAAAATAAAGTCCAATGCTGGGGCAGAAGAGACAACTCGGCCAGTAAAGTTCTAGCCACACAAGCATGAGCGCCTGTGTTCAATCCCCAACCGACTCACATTAAAAAAAATAATGCCTGGCTGGGCAGTGGTGGCGCACACCTTTAATCCCAGCACTCGGGAGGCAGAGCCACGTGGAGCTCTGTGAGTTTGAGGCCAGCCTGGTCTACAGAGCGACATCCAGGACAGGCACCAAAACTACACAGAGAAACCCTGTCTCGAAAAACCAAAAAAAAAAAAAAAAAAAAAAAAAAAAAAAAAAAGCCTGCATAGGGCCAGTGAGATGGCTCAGAACATAAAGGCACCTATTGCCAGGCCTAAAGGCCCGAGTTCAATCCCTGGGGCCTGCATACTGGAAGGAGAGAACCCACTCCTGCAAGTTGTCCTTTGACCTCCATATGTATACCATGGCACACGAATCCCCCACATGCACACACACACATTTACACAGGAAAAAAAAAAACTTTTAAAAAAGCCTATTAGCATGATGGCACACACTTGTAACCCCAGCACTGAGGAGGGGGAGAGAGTCAGCTCCCTGGATCTCACTGTCACTTAGCTGCCAAATCATGTGACAACCCCCACCCCCAGGTCTTTTTTTGTTTTGTTTTGTTTTGTTTCGAGACAGGGTTTCTCTGTGTAGTTTTGGTGCCTGTCCTGGCTCTCACTCTATAGACCAGGCTGGCCTCGAACTCATAGAGATCCACCTGGCTCTGCCTCCCGAGTGCTGGGATTAAAGGTGTGCGCCACCACCGCCCGGCAACCCCCAGGTCTTAGTGAGAGACTCTGTCTCAAAAACCAATATGCACAGTTCTGAGCAACAACACCAGAGGCTGGCTTCTGCCTCTACATGAATGTACCACTCCCACACACACACACGCGCCCGCTCGCGCGGGCACACACAGGAAAGATTCTAATGATATAGATTTGGCCTGGTATTTGATGTGATAATGGAAAGGCCTTATGAAAATGTGCTGTTTCCAGGCCATTGAGAAGTAAATCTGAACAGCCCCTATCAAGTGTCATGTGACACCATGTTGAGCTTGGGAAGGAAAAATCCTAAATAAGGTCTTAAAAGGGGAAAAAAGAAAATACTATACAAAAATATTTATTTCCCCCCCAAAAATATATTTTAAGGGTATTTTAGGTATTTGGGGTATAATATAGAAATATAATTTCTATATTACAGAAATTACTCCAGTGTGTGAGACAGAAGCATTTCATGCTCAAGTGTGACAAGAGCCTCAGAACAGAGAAGCCGGTGTGAGAAAGGATGCTCTAGTTAACCAAGCAGGGTCATTTCCTTATGTTGCTTTCCTAACCTTCTGAAAGAGACATGGGCCTGGGAAAGGCCAGACCCCAGCTTTTACAGAAGAGATGATTCACCAGGTAGTGACATTTACATGAAAGGAAATGCCCGTGTTCTCGAGCATTTTGCTGCAAGTTCTCCGTGCCTTGGAGACAGGCACCATTTGAGGCGGGTCTGAGGCGTGCCAGGGGCAGTCTCCTCCCTTGGCTACCTCCTTCCTCCTTCCTCATGTCTCAGTCCTCTTCTCACAGACTGCTGCTGGATCCACACCCAGACTGCAAGCTCTCTGGGTCCCCATGCTCCCTGTATTCCCGGCTGCCTGCTCCAGCTGCTGACAGGGCTGCCACCTTCTACATCTCCAGTGTCAGGAAGAGGAAAGAAGTCTCAGAGCTTCCGAACCACTGCCTCTTGGAGGGAGCTATTTGACCCAGGTAAGACATGTCCCTCTGTCTCTGGAAAGGCTGTCTCGACAATTAGAGAAAAATAAGCTAAAAACACTATTGAGAGGAAGGTATCTCCTCTCTCTTCAAGACAGGAAGTCAGTGATCCCCTCAGGAACAGATGCAGGGAACAGGTTGTTTTCTTTACTAGATGTGGGAGAGTGTCACTCCAGGGCACAGATTCTGTTTGTCTTTTAAAAATTATTAAGGACCCTGGAGAGCTTTTCTTTCTCCTGTTTCCCAACTACTGTAATGTACTGTGCTAGAAAAAAATTTAAAGCTGAAGAAATTTAATAGCTACCTAGTGGTTTATTGTAATTTACATCACACATACTCTTAAATAACATTCTTTAAGACAGCCATCTAGCCTGAACACTCTACAGCCGTTTGTATATTTACAAATCTCTTTACTGTTTGGCCCAGTGGGAGAAAGCAGGATTCTGCTTGCTTTGTTTTCATACTGTTGCGATGGTACACAGACTTCGCCTCTGATACTTTCTTGTCCGCTTGTGAGAATACAAGATCTGAAAGGCAAGTGGATCCTAGGATTACCAGAAACAGTCTGGGCTACCCTATGAGCCACTTCGAACCTCTGCTTTGGAGCGATGAAACAAGATTTTCTTTCAAGGATGTCTCAACTCCAAACTACTTCTGTCAAAGCAAAACAGACCTAGTGCAAGGCTGATAATCAATAAGATCTGCAGGAAGTCTTGGGCAGGTCTGTACTTGGACAACATAGCATTCCCCAGGAAGACTAGTTCACAAGGGAAGGGCTGGATAAAATTATCACTATTTTTTTTTGTTGTGTTTTGTATTTTTAATTTTTTATTTTTTTATGTGTATTGGTGTTTTGCCTGTGTGACAGTGTTGGAGCCCCTGGAACTGGAGTTACAGACAGTTGTGTGCTGCCATGTGGGGGCTGAGAATTGAACCTGGGTCCTCTGGAAAAGTAGTCAGTGCTCTTAACCGCTGAGCCATCCCTCCAGCCCCAATTATCGCTATTTTGAAGTCAAAGAACAAACCCAATCAAGATGTCTTTAATCTCTTTACTTTTTGCCTACTTTTAGCTGACCAAATTCTCCGACACGCCCCTGCAGAATACCTTACCTCCCACCTGCAGCGCTTTCCCAGGGCTGCTAACCAGGGTCTGACTCTTCCATAGGACTCTCAAACCCCTCCATAGTCTTCGGTTCACTTCAGGAGAGAACTGCTCCACCCACCACCCCACCCCACCACACCACTGTACCCTTCCCCGGTGCCCTCCTCCTCGGCTCAAATATGGAGCCGTCTTCAAAATTAACACTGACTCACCTTTCACACATTCAAGTATGTCAGGTTCATTTGACCTCTTTTGTCAAGTCTCTATTTAACAGTTGATTAAATATACCTGTCATTAATGATCTATTTCCTGTTGTGTTCTGCCCCCATTGCTTCCACATCCCACGTACACACGTTTGTGCGATGGCCCAACTGTCACGGGCCAGTGAGGTGGCTCAGCAGGTACTGGAGCTGCCTCAAAGCCTGCTGATTGAGATTGATCCAGGGGACCATGTAAAGATGGCAGGAGAGACTCGACTCCACAAAGTTGTCCCTGACCTCCACACATATGCCGTCGTACACTCATGCACACAAACTAAATACAGGCGTTTCGGGTTTGGTTTGGTTTGGTTTCTGCTTGTTTGTTTATTTGTTTGAGGCAGGGCTTCACTATGTAGTGCTGGCTGTCCTTAAACTATGTAGACTAGGATGGACTTGAACTCACAGATCCACCTGCTTCTGTCTCCCGAGTGCTGAGATTAAAGGTGTGCGCTTATACACCTGGCTACAATAAAGGTATTTTTAAGAAGAATCAACATGTTGAGTGTTGATCTTGCTGCTGTCAAGACAACTTCCCACCTGACTTTAGAGATTTAATCATGTAGCAGGACCCTCTGTTCTGCCCATACCTATTCCACAAAACTGGAGTTCCACAGAGAGGACAAGTAGGATCATAGTTGCTCTTCAAGTTCAAAGTATTTTACTTTTAACACAATACTACATTTTTAAACTCCTAGCAATTTTAAAATTCTGGCTGAATAAGATTCTATAGCTGTGTATTACCTTCCAGTGGTTCTCAACCTTCCTAATGCTTTGACCCTTTAATATAGTTCCTCACGTTGTGGTGACCCCAACCATAAAATTATTTTTGTTGCTACTTCATAACTGTAATTATGAATCATAATGTAAAGATCTGTGTTTTCTGATGGTCTTAGGAGACCCCTGTGACAGTGTTGAGCCCCACACATTGAGAACCACTTAGGAGGAAGTGGCAGCTGGGACATTTGCCCCATATTAATGGCTCTTTCGTGGCAGCTTTAACTACAGCCTAGAATTGCAGAATGCTGGGGCTGGAAAAGACCTTAAAGCTTGATCACCAGCTTTCTTGTTTTCCAAATGAGGAAACAGAGACCCCTCCCCCCATTAAGTAACTTTTCCCCGACAAAATTGGAACTCATGTGACCTAATTTTCATCATGATATTCAGCCATTCACTCTCTGTGGGCTAATTTTCAAAGGTTTATACAATTTTTTTTTGTTTTAAAGACCCAATGCTTGCTATATGCTCCTAGGGGGCTCTTTATGAGAATATTGGGTGAAGGCTGGAGAGATGCCAAGGTTGGAAAAGTGCTCCAGGACCTGTGTTCAATCTCCAGAACGAAAGTTTAAAAAAGCACACAAAACTGAGTGGTGCAGTGAGCTTCTAACCCAGTGCTGAGGTGACAGGAACAGGTGGATCCATCGTGGAGTTTGCTGACCATCCAGGTTAGGCAGCAGGCAAGTGCCGAGACACTGAGAGGTACTGTCTCAAAAAAAAAAAAAAAAAAAAAAACAAAGTATGGCCAGCAAATTGACTCAGAGGGTAAGGGTGCCTGCCACCAACCCTGGCCCCAGAAATGACTTCTGCAAGTTGTCCTCTGACCTTAGACATGTGGACACTTGCACAAATAAATACTGTTTCTTTACTTTTTAAAAGGATAGATGGTACTTAATGAATAATACCCAAAATTGTCCTCTGATACACACACACACACACACACACACACACACACACACACACGTGCATGTGCATGCACAAACACTTACAAACACATACATATGCAAGAGACTATCAGATAAACTATTAGATAAATGTTAAGGCACTCTTGGCCACTGGGAACTGTATGTCATAGATTAGAATTGAGGAAGCCAAGAAGTGAGAAGGAGTCAGAGAAACATGGGGAGAGGAGTGAAGAGGAGATTACATTTGCAGTCACGATGCACTGAGAGCTAACTGAAGTGAGGACAAAGTAAGTGAAAACTTCAGACTAAATACATGAAACAAAACAAATTAGAAAAAAAGGAGAGTGAGAGTCTTACACTTTGAGTAATCTGTTTTCAGGCTCCCCTTGTTTTCTTTCTTTCACTAAGTTTTAGAGGGGAGTTCTAAGATCTGTCCCCCAAAATAGAATGTATTGGCTACACTATGACCCAAGTGACTTTTGAAAAACTTAGATTGAACCTGTCTTTCTCCTACCCAAGGAGAGTGACCTTTTCAGCCTAAGGAAACAAGACTTATTACCTGGCTCTCCTTCCCTGGTTTTTGTCAAAGGAACTACACTGCAAGTTCCTCTAAATTAAATTAAGGCAAAATTGAAATAATGTAACAGGAAAATAATGGTTTAACTTTATAAGTAATGGAAAATAATATGAATATTTTCAAATTAAATACTTGGTCTAGCTGGGAAATGGTGGTGCATGCCTTTAATCCCAGCACTCAGGAAGCAGAGGCAGGCAGATCTCTGCAAGTTTGAGGCTAGCCTGGTCTACAAAGAGAATTCTAGGACAGCCAGGACTACATAGTGAAACCCTGTTTTAAAAAAGACTAACTGGGGGGTTGGGGATTTAGCTCAGTGGTAGAGTGCTTGCCTAGCAAGTGCAAGGCCCTGGGTTTGGTCCTCAGCTCCAGGAAAAAAAAAAAAAAGAAAGAAAGAAAAGAAAAACTAACTAGGCCAGGGGGTGGGGGGTGGCACACGCCTTTAATCCCAGCACTTAGGAGGCAGAGCAAGGCGGATCTCTGTGAGTTGGAGGCCACCCTAGGCTACCAAGTGGGTTCCAGGAAAAGGTGCAAAGCTACACAGAGAAACCCTGTCTCAAAAAAAAAAAAAAAAAAAAAAGAAAAAAAAAAAAAAAAACCACTAACTAACTAAATAAATAAAATACTTGGTTTAAATTGGCATAATTTCAGAGCTGCTAGGCTAGGGGGTTTGTAAACTCTGCACTCTTGCCAAGTGGAAGACCTTACCCTGGTTGGATTATCTGCCTCCACCACTCTAGTATAAATTAAGCTGTTCCTTCCAGATTTCAGCTCTCCCACTGAGCCCTAGTTCCAACCTTCCCCCTCCTTTTTTTTTACATTTTGGGGGAGGGGAGACAGGAGCTAAATGACCTAAGATGACCTTGAACTCATTCTGAGTTACCCAAGCAGGCCTCCTGTCTCTACCACCCTTGTATTGGGGTTACAGGCTGGCCTATGCCAGACTGGATTACAATGCTAGTATACATTTTATTGCAGTGTGTGCATGTGCATGAGACAGGTGTGTCAGAGTTAAAGGACACTTTTTGTGGAGTCAGTTCTCTCCACCTTCATGTGTGTTCTGGGGATCAAACTCAGATCTCCAGATACGGGTGGCAAGTGGCCAGAACCATCTCACCAGCCGTATAATACTATTTTTCATCATAGTTATTTTCTTTTCTTTTTGCCTTTTTGAGACAGGGTCTCACCAAACCCAGACTGGACTCTAATTCACTGTGTAGATGAAGATCATCTTGAACTTCCTGTCTCTACCTTGAACCCCAGGCCTTTTCCTACTAAGTGTGATGACTGGTGTACACCAACACACCCAGGTTTCAATATCTGATAACAATGTTATCAAGGTATTAAGGGGCATTGTTACTATTTGTGATATGAACAAT